TTTTCAATAGACTCCTTATGATTCGCTCAAACGCTGTAAAGAGAAATACATAGTTTTCGATTTTCACTGTAACCCACCTGCTCTTGGTGCGGCTTCCCCCGGTCTTCCCGCTCTGGGCTGGCCTCAAATTTTTGATAGGCGCATTCCTTTAGTAGAGGCAACCAGAGGAAATTCTTGCTTCTATCCATCCAACTCTTTGTCCTTGTCATCATCGCCAACCACAATTTTCGATTCTTTCAACACTCAGTTCAACAACGCCGAGTTACTCCATTCCGCACACAGTTCATCGAACATTACAGTTCTAATATATAATCATTCACAATGGGTTGGTTTTGGGCAGATACACCCGTTCCTGCGGTTCCTGTCGGACACCCAGCTACTACCGCCAAGGCTCCTCCAGTATGATCGCAATTCCATTCCATCTTTATCATGTAGCTGACTCTCCCAGCCTGGCTGCCCTATGCACCAAAAGTCCGCCGATGCCATGAACCCTGTGGCTAAGCCCAAGAAGCCTGTCGATCTTCCTTCCACCTCAGGATGTCCCGTTCCTCACGCCGCCCGAACCCAAGAGCAGCCCAAATCTTTGATTTCCCAGCTCAACCCTCTCAACTACATGTTCCCCGATCTATCGCAAAAACCTGCGCCCAATCAATCATTCGCTCTCCCAACAACCCGAGATGAGTCTACCATTCCCAAGGGCACTGGTGATGGCAACTGGGAGTACCCTTCTCCTCAGCAGATGTACAACGCACTGCTGCGCAAGGGATACACCGATACCGATATCACCGCTGTCGAGGGCATGGTTTCAGTACACAACTTCTTGAACGAGGGCGCATGGCAGGAGATTCTTGGTTGGGAACAACGATTTGCGCGGGGACTTTACAAGGGGTGGCAGATCTGCAAGAGAGGCGAGGGCCATGTTCAGGAGGAGCTTGACCGTCAATGGGATGGCGTCGACACCGAGCCTAGTCTCGTTCGCTTCCAGGGTCGACCCAAGGAATTGACACCAAAGGCCACCATGATGCAGGTGCTAGGCTGGATTTACCCTTCAAAGTTTGGGTAAGTAATCGTGAATTCTAATGTGCGAGAGATTGGCTGGCTAACACATTTCAGTACCGAGCCTCCCTTTGACCGACACGATTGGTACGTTGCGCGAGAAATCAATGGCCAGAGGAAGGAGATCCGATATATCATCGACTATTATTCTGGCGAGCCCGATGCCCACGGCGACCCTGTCTTCTTCCTCGATGTGCGTCCTGCCGCTACACCCTTGGGTGCCGCCGAGCGTATCATTCGCTGGAGTACTGATACCTGGTGGAAGGCCATTGGCGGCGACAGGCACGAGCAGGATCCCCAGCCGTGGTTCCGCGGCTCTTCTTAAAGTGATTTCTCTGGCGCTCGGGTCATGATGGAAGCAGGTGTTTGCTGAAAAGGTTCCGGCGTATTGCATTCTCCTCTCTGATTGTTATGATTGGATGTATTTTTATAATGATAGCTGACTAGGAGTTACTTGTACGAGGTCGAAGACGGAGGAATTGGAGCAGTTCTGTATTATATACCATTAACTAGAACTTAGTTCAAGTTCACAGCTAATTCGTTCACTTGATCAAGAAGAGCCTGATCTTCTCCAGCTGCATTCTTGAGCACCTTTTCCAACTGGTGGTCAACGGTCTGGCCAGGGATGTCAGACACAGCACCCTGTGCCTGTTGAATACGAGCCATCTGGAACTGCAAGAAAAACTTGGGAACCTTGATCGCAAGGTTTCCACCAGTCGATCTGATACCAGCTTCGGTTGCGAGGTAAACATTGAGCTCATTCTGAAACGCATCGAGGTTGTTGTTCGCCAAGGGTGATGTGGTTGCAAATCGGTCGAGGGCGAAAGCCAGAGGACTCTGACCTGATTCGGCGAAGTTGATGGAGGAAAAGGTCACACCGCCAGAGCTCACATCAGGGACGCCATCGATAGTTGTTTTCGAATTGTCGCAGGTGATGACGGAGGCCAGATTTGTGGCCTGTGTCGAAACTTCATCGGGGAGAGCCTCGGAGCCAGTCACAAAGCAAGGAGTTTGTCTCTTGGGTAGATGAGGCGCTTACATGCGTTAGTTGGTATACTCGTGAAGAGATGTGGACTGGAGAGGATACATACCTGCGAGAGCGCTTCCAGCCAGTGTGATAAGGATGGGAAGAACAGGGAAGTGCATTTTGGATGGGTGAGTGATGGAAGAATATAAAGACAGATATAACAATTATTATAAACAATGATCCTCCAGGGATTTACGAATTGAAGAGAAACAGATGAAAAGTGATGTATTTGTTTAGAATCTGGTTGTTTGAACAGGATCTACATGCCTTTTATATGCTGAGAGTATATGTGGCCATCGTTAAGCATAAGCATAGAGTTGAATCGAACATGATACCAAACTCTAGACCTGGAGGTGCCTCCATGTCGAATATCTCGACTCAGTATAACCCCAAAAGACCTGTATCATGGCGGTTGCTGTGAAGCTCGCTGTGACACTATTCGTCCCAGCAGCGTAGGCCAAGAGTTTCAAGGATCCCTGGTCTGTCACAATAGGACCCGGGAACTATCGACACCAAAGTCTAGAACTGCAACGATGATGTGTAGAGTTACATCGATTCAGATCCCATTTCCTATTTCAGACTGTCTCCGATAAATGTGCATAATCCCATCTGGCAGATACTTCTTTGGGCAGAATATCTGCGACAAAGGAGTTGAGATGTGAGCGGTAAGTGAGACATCATTTAGTCAGCTTGTCTACCAAGTTTCAGGCATGTACTCGTGAGACGAGACTTTCTCTTGGTTAAATCTAAAACCTAAACCGTTTTTCTTTACCAATTTCCAAGAATTGTTTCTCATTTCCCATGCTTGTTTTATCTAATTATCTCAGCTTACCTCAGGTATATACTACTATCAAGGGCCCCGGATCAAAGTCGCTCCATTGACCAATCAGAAGTTGCGAATCTTTCTCTAAGGGTCCCTGGAACTTTTTTCCCCCAAATTGGATCGCAAAAGTAAAAGCTCGTCCCTTTTTATTGAAAGCGACATACTCATTTCAACGACGCTCTTTGTGTCGCACAAACTCCTCACGACAGCGCCATTTGCTTCGAAATGTCGGCTGAAGCCACGTCTGCTTCAAGCGACTACATCAGGCTTCATATAAGCCCTCTCGATCCCGAGCTTTTCAAGATTGTTGTTCCAGCTTCTGCAGCCCCCAAGGCGCGCAACATCTCATATCACACGATCGAGACTTTTCCCGAGCGACGCTACGGTTTTGTCGAACTACCAACCATGGAGGCTGACAAGATAAAAAAGAAGCTCAATGGCGCTGTGCTGAAGGGCAACAAAATACGAATCGAAAAGGCCAGACCAGAACAGAGGGTTGAATCTACTGGTGAAATTGATCAGGAGGAAGAGGAGAAGTCAAGAAAGAAAAAGAAAAAGACAAAGGAAGAAAAAGAGGAATCGAGAAAACGAAAGCGTGATCCCGAGGTTGTCGAGGGCGTCGCTCTGAAAGATCGCAAAGTCAAGAGAGGATGGACAGAGCCCGCCGATCAGAGAAGAAAGAAGAGCAAGCAGGACAAAGAAAAAGAGAAGGATGGCAAACACACCGAGAAGAAGAAGCGCCTAAAATCAAAGTATACCGACGGAGATGAATGTCTGCTCAAGACCAAGGTTCCTCCTAATGCCATCGCCAATCTCCCTGAGGACGATCAACCCCGAAAGCGCAAGAAGAAGGGCAAGTCACGCGAAGTTATTGTTCACGAATTCGAGAAGACCACAAAGTTCCCGAGCTTCTTGAAGACCTCGGCCGATGAGGGAGAAGCCAACACAGCCACCGAGTTTGTTGAGGGTAAAGGCTGGGTGGATGAGAATGGCAATGTAGTCGAGACCGTCAAGGAGAAGAAGATTCCCGAAGCCGCGCCCAAGAAGAAGAATAAGGTCAAGAAGGCGACTCCTCGTCCTGTCGAGGAGTCAGATGACGATACCAGTAGCAGTGGTACTAGTAGCAGCGGCTCATCCGATGAGGAGAGTGAGGATGAAATGGAGGTTGATGCTCAAGTCGAAGAGAAGAAGGAGAAGAAAGAGACGACTAGAGAAACTCCTCAACCAGACGATGAGTCCTCCGACTCTGAAGCTGATTCGCCCCAACCACCCCAACAAGCAACACCCCTCTCAGCCATCAAAGCCGACGAAACAAGACCCATGTCCTCAAGTTCCTCCCGCAGCCTCACCATCAAGATACCCCCTCCCGGAACACCCTCTACCAAAGTTCATCCCCTTGAGGCCCTTTATAAGCGTGCCAAACCCGACGAGGTCACCACAGAGATTCTCGCTAAGAAGGAACCCGAGCCCTTCAGCTTCTTTGGAGGTGCCGACAACGATGACATCGAAGACGAAGAGGACCAAGACCCCGCAAACCAAACCATCGCAACTCCCGCGCCCATGACGCCCTTTTCTCGCCAGGATTTCGAATGGCGCAACGTTAGAAGTGCTGCGCCCACGCCCGACACCGCGCACCCCTCACGAATGCGTAACTTCTGGCCCGAGGATGAGGAAGAGGGCGAAGAAGATCCCGACATGGCAGAGCATGGCTTCGACGAGGATGGAGACAAGGATGTTTCTGCCCCACAAAGCTCAAGCGACTTTCAGGCTTGGTTCTGGAATAACAGACGCGACCTCAACAGATCCTGGATGAAGCGTCGCAAGACTGCTGCCAAGGAGAAACGACATAGGGAGAACAAGGCGAGGGCTAGTAAGGCGGTATAGACTCATAGGATATGGATAATAGACATTAATTGCACATGATGACACTCTCATTGGTTTCTCATGGTGCACTCAAGCATCCTACTCCAACGTTCTTCTGACAACCAAAACTTGAATGCCTTACTCAAAGTATCATTAGGGTCGATTCTTCCTATGAAATGAGTTATCTAGGTACGTATGTCTTATCCCCCTTGACTTCTCATCAGTTGCCGCTTATTTCGATGAAATCTCGCGAGACGATAAATCATTCACACATTCGTGAGGTTGATGGTCTTCAGAGCATGTCCCCTCTCTGGGGCGTGGAGCGTTGAGCTTGCTCCCCGTCATGGCTTCGTATATCCCTGAATCATCGGGCTTAGGTGGTTCAGGCGTGAGTTCCCTGACAATGCTGTCCCGTGAGCGCAAGAAGCCGCCCGGCGAAATATCATCCTCGACTGTTCTGGTCGGAGCTCCTGCAGTCGGTTTGCGAAAGTGATTCTTGTGAAAGAGCTTGTGGCCTCCTTGTTTGATTTTGTCCATCAGACTTTGCCGTGAACCATTTTGACTATCGATTATCTCCTCAATACCAGCGACCTGAGTACTTCGTCGTCGTCGCGTATCTGCGTCGAGCGAGGCACTTAGTTTTCTTTCCGCCGCAAGAGGAGTTGGTGAATGTCTCCCCAACGCAGTCAGTTTGGTCGGGTGCGCTCTGAATGGGTTCGCAGCGAACAAGGAGTTGTTGTATGAGTATACATTTGGGGCCTCTACAGGAGAGCTCGATGCGACCAATTCGTCGAGACCGCAGTGAGCATCGACACCGTCTTGGTACAGCGTGGACGGTGTACGCTTTTTCGACTGGTCACTCTCAGTTTGCAAGGTGAGGTCAGTGGTGCAGTCACGGGAGAAGAGTCTGGGGAAAGAAGTAATGACGGTCCCATCGCTAACTCTCAGCTGTTGCTCGAAACTCTTATTGCACATGATATCGGCCAGTATCTCAGCTGTGCTTTTTGGGGTGGCATAGTGTCGTAGGACAGACTCGCCTTTGGTTAGCCTCTGGTAACTCTGTCGGCGATCATCTGGACACGAATGTGAGCCCCCATGCGTGGGTGAGCAACAGTCCGAAACGGTTCGACAATGTGTCCGTGTACTCGAATCATAATTTGCTGGATATGCCCGAGCCCACGTAATCTCAGCAATACTTCGGCGTGTCACAACAGTTGTCGTTGCTTCTGAAGCCCCGCCTCGAGTTTTGGTATGGACTTGCATGTCAGTTGCGTTGGTGTTTGTGTAAGATGTGCTAGGCAAATTAATGGTGGTCGCTGGGTCGATCGCCATCGGGGAGGGAATCAGGATAGCATTTGAGTTCTCGTCGAGCCGTGGTAAAGGTCGACTTTCAGATGACCCTGTTGTTGTAGGTGTTCTCTGAGGCAAGGCAATGTGACCATTCTTCAGTGTTTCGTCCAGGACAATGCTAACGACATCTCGGATGTCCTTGTCGCTAATAAGGTACAACCCCTTAGCCTCTGGGACTTGCTGGCCTTTACCATTTATGACATGCAGATGCTCTCTTAAGTGCCTGATCTTTTGGAGGCGATCACTCACTTTTCTGGCGATGCTTTGGGTAGCTTCTTCGCCGGCATACAATGGATCGCCTACTTCCGCCTCTGCTTCACGGGAAGCTGAGCTCTCTGTATCAATAATCACTGCAGGAACTTGAGATGGATCCAGCCTCCAGATCGCTTCGTGGCTTCCATGCCTCAGTACGCCCTGGTCCTTGTCTGAAGCTTCAAGGTGGTAGGCGCGCACCCCTGGCTCCGGTGCTGAGGATTTGAAAGATACCTTTTCAACTTTGAAGCCATCATTTGCTTCGGTATCTTTATACATGTAGTATGCTGAGCCATTTGATCGTGGGTCGAAGATGTAATATGCCTGGTGTTCATCCCCAAAAGCTGCTTCGTGAGCTTTGGAAGTGTTGATGGAGATAGTATCTAAGTCAGCTGGTCGTGGCGTATCACTGCCATTTGTAGCAACCTGGGAACCCTCCTTGGCTTTTTGTAACCGATCGTAGACTGCTCCAAGGTTGTTGAGTCTTGCATCAGGTATAGATCGTAGGCGGTCTCGTGTCAGGGGTTGTGGTGCGCGGTCTTGGGTTGACGACTCGAAAGAATTTGTCTCTAAGGACCGTCCGGTTGGCGTCGTCTCGCCTGAGCTGTTGTATTGGTCCCCATTCAGGTTTGTATTTAGTGCGTGAGCCTTGTTGGCAATATCTTTGAGTCTTTGAATAGTCTCGTCTTGATAATGATCAATTGCGGATACAAAACCGTTCGAGGATTGAGATGATTGTGATAATCGTGTATTCTTGATCGCGAACACTTTTGAGGGTTCGGGATATTCTTTAGCGTCATCATTTTTCTAAAACATCGCTTTTCCATTACCAGGGCTCATTAGGGTCGAGTGAGGTGCATTGCTTGGGCCTGCTTCTGCTTCCTTGTCACGACAAGTCGTGTCATCAGTCTCAGTGTCGCAGATTGCGAACTCATGAAGAGCATTGCTTTTGCTGGAAGTCTCATCTTCGGCGGCCGTAGAGAAAAGAACGACTTCAGGTTGAGTGTCAGGGGGAGTGAAGATTCTTGGCATTCGAGGGAGACATCGAGCGTCATCGTCGTCGTATCCCTCCATTTTGCTGTAGTACGATTGCCGTCTAGAATATTTCAGACAAATCATGTAGAGAGTGAGTATGCATGTAGGTGATGAAGTAGTTTCAAGGTGCTAGAGCATGAGATAGGGTGAGTAAAGAATCATCCGGATGACGACTTCGAGGTGGTTGAAGAGGGCTGAGAGTGGGAGAAGAGACTTCGACGATCTTAGATGCCTCATGAGCAGAGATACACGCAGTGGGTACACTCTTTCCCTTTTCTGTTGGCCTATTTCCATTTGGCAGGAATGGAAGTTGAGTACCTATCTTAGGAAAGAAGCAAGAGCTCAGCTAGTTAAGATCTAGTACCGATGCCAATGTCAATCACCGTTGAACCGAGAACACAAGGAGACTCATCTATGATAGCAAATTTCTCTAAGTACGCTACTTGTTTTCTAGGCGTTTGAGAGCCACTGTACGCTCAGCGTCAACTCTCCCATATCGAATTTGACTTTATACTCTCTAACGCTGATTGAATTTCCATCTCATCAATGGTGAATTTGCTGCTGCCTTTCCCTCCAATGCTCGTCCACCTCTTCGAGCTCACAAAGCTATCAATAACTCTTCTTCTCCTGGATCCTCATTCTTGGAATTTCCACCTTCCGATTCCTATGGTAATGGTGATCCCTTTCCTGGTGTCCAGCTAGATCCACCTCCAAATGCAGATCCAGGTGTCTGTGCCAGAATGTTGTTACTTCTGACAGGTGTTACCGGCCCTGTTGAGCCATCGATTGGCAAAGGTGGAGGTGTGTCCGTCCTTGGGACATGCTGATCGTCCTTGCGAGGCGGTTTAAAGTTGACCTCCCGACCAGCTCGATAAATATCTTGCAACATCGTCTCCAAGATTCCGGCATCCTGGAACTCGAGATACTTCTTATACAACTTGAGTGCTGTCCGTGAATCTTCGATCGAATCGTGGGTCTCCATTTGAATATCTTCCTTGAGGAGATACCACGCCAGAAAAGCGAGCGATAGCCTTCTTAGCCGAGTTTTAAGGAAGAACAAGTCGATCGTGTCGATGACCTGTGATTTAGGAATGTGTATGTTGATGACTCGAAAGTCTTGTTTTAGTCCGTGACCGAGGAACTTGCATCCGAGGTTAAGAAGAATCCACATCTTCTTGTATGCCATCTTCAATGACAAGAGACTATGTTTCGAAACTCTAGGATCTAAGTCTTGTTCAGTGATTCCCGAGTACGATGTCAAGTAGTCGACAATTGGTTCTTTGATGTTAATGTAATCATCGATGAAGGGCGTGCCTTCATTTTCCCCCTGACCACGGACAACTGATGCGCGAGCTAGTGCGTACACTATCGGCCGTATAGTTTCTCGCTCACCATCAGAGTTCATTTCAATTTCGGGTTGTCGCACAGCAACAAACTCAGTGTCCAGTGCAATGATAGTATCGGGGCCAGGGGCCTCGGTTTCGGGGTTGAGCACTTGATATGTCTTTGTTGATGGATCGGCGTTTGGACTGAAGAATGTTAGCAACATAAAAGTTTATAGCAGGCTAGAACATACTTGAAGTCTTGGTAAAGTATGGAAGTATCGATGTTGTTCTTCCATTCAGTATCGATCTTGTTGTTTTCATCCTTTATCTGGTATGCAATTACAGAAGGGACCTTCCAAGATGTGTTGAAAGCAAGTGCCTCTTCCGTGCTGACCGATCTCACCAAGAAGTCATTGAAAAGATGCCATCGACTCTCTCCAGGTGCTTCTGGTTCTGCATGTGCCACTATTCCTTTGGTCAGCCGTGAGGGGCGATGGGGTGTAAGAGACTTACCATTGACCATCGAGACAAGATGTGACTTTTGCGTTTGTCCACTCTCAATGTTGATGGCCATACCTGTCAATGAATAGACTGTGATGTTATGAATGCCCCTCTGGAGATGAAGTTTCAGGTCTTCCCCTTCGTAACAGAAAAACTGTCCTTGCTCTACAATGATTCCAATCTCCTCGGGAAGCCAGCCTGGTGTTGACCAAAGCATTCGTTGATCTTGGTTCGTGATGGCAGTGTTTAGCATGAGTACAGCCGGTATACTGTGAATGCTCTTTCTCGTCGCTATGGTTTGGTACCGCTGACATCGACTACACCATCCTTTAGATGTCGTTTCTCTTTCAACACTATTTTTGAGAACCTGAGAAAAGCTGATGCGCGGTAACTTGGCATTTCGGCTCCCGGCCTTTTGGCAGTGATAAGTTTTTGCTCATACAGATTCAGCATCAAACTTACAGGGGATGGATAAAGCAGATCATTGACATATGTTGATCCTGGTCGAGTATATTCGCTCCTACAGTTTATGCATCTGATTGAGGTCGTTGCGGAAGTGGCCAGTACCTAGACGATTCAGCAAATGCCATCTGATTTCAGTCAATCAACCAACCTGGTCCATGGCAGTCGATGATGGGTTGATAGTCTTATAGTCATGCACGATTTTATCCAGGAGAAAGCGAGTGAGTCCCTGGAGCATAACGTTAAGAGATGATCCATGAGGATCCTCTTCGAGTAGACCAAGAGGACCAGCTGAGCCAGTTAGTAATGATCCATATCAGCGTCACTCAACATACCCTGAGGATGACTGCTTAGGGTTTTTAGTAAATTTGTTGCTTGACATATTGACCCTTCAGCCTTTTGAAGCATATCAAACAAGAATCCAAGCTCGCACAGCAGGCATATCTCGCTCACGCAAGAGGTAGCAGCGTGTTGAAGAGCAAGGTTTCGAATGACAGGGGTGAAGTGCATGATTTGTAAAAGTGAATTGGCATATGAATTCGAGATATGAGTCTCGAGTCCAGAGTATCGCGTGCTGTTGTAAAAACTGCTTCTGATCAGTGACCTTGCATTTGCGAAAATTGGAGAATACGAACCCGAAGTCAAAGTCGTCCACACCGAATTTGCTGTATTTGATCTCAACATTTCGATACATGACTGGAACGTCAGACTTCTTGCTTTCAAGTCCCATATCAGTAAGAGAGCTGATCAGCTCGTCAGCCTTCTTATCATTGGCAGCAGCGTTACTAGTGGCGAGCTCGCGAGCCTTTTCACTGAGGAATTTGGGAGCCTTGAGCCCAGAGCTTCCTGACTTATTTACGTTTCGAGTGTTCTCAGCCTGGTTTCTTCGCAAACCCCGAGTATTACGACCGTACAGTCCAAACTCAGTCGGCTTGAGCCCTGCCAGGAACTGTGGATCAAACTTAACAGGAGGCGCTCCAACATCGCAGGGTATGTCTGGCCAAGCGGATGCCAGAACATCTCGATAATGCGGCAATCCTATCATGTTCAAGGGCCTAAAGCGATCAGTAAAGGAACAAACGTTCAACTCGGTATCAAAACTCACGTATCTGGGCCCCAATCAATGTTTGGTAAGGGCTCTTCAGGAGTCGCGAACTCGATCGGAGTTGGTAAGTCCACGAAATGGAGTTTTGTTGGAGATCCCCAGAGATGAATAGAGCAATCAGCATCTGTGAGGGCAATTGCCTCACCGGAGGGTGCAATCTCAAACATGCTCAAGTAGGAAGTAACATTAGCTAACCGTACGTCGCTCGTGTTAGGATTCATAAGGTCAACAACATGCATCTGCCCACTCTGTGAGACGACGATGCTAGTTGTCAACATCCTTGGATGCATGCGCACGTAAGCAGCGCCGGCTGGGAAAGGGATAGGGGGCATCGATGACATCTTCTTTATATCGAAGACGTTGAGGAAAGGGTCGAGCATATAATTCTGGCCTTGCCTCAAAGAGTATCCGCACGTTACGATGAAGTCGTGCTGAGCATCCATGTCATTGATCAAGGCAGAGTGTGCATTCCAAGACTTGACAACAGCAAATGTGACAGGATCTAGTAAGTTGACAGAGCCGGTCTGAGTTGCGGCGCATATATAACGCCCGCGTCTCATTATCGTGTACTGATGTTCGGTAGGTACCTAGCGGAAGTTAGTATAGCTTTCAATTACCGAGAAAGTGATACTGACCTGTTTGACAACATCACCCTTAATGAGGTCAATGACAAGCATTGTATCTTGCATTCCTGCAGCGATAATCTCTGCCGTTCCCTTAGACGTAAAGCTCATACATCGTAAATCTTTCATATCATCATGTCTGACAAAGATCAGCATCAGTCAACCTCCTATGCAGTTGTATCATCCTACCTGATGTGCCATATAGGCAGTCCTCTCCGAATAGCCATATGCACATCTTTGGCACCCAGGGACACAATGCCTTTCTCATTAACGAGTATTTGACGAATCGGTCCATCAGAGGATGCATGGGCCCTGAAAGAGGTATACCGCTGTAGTTCGGTCCCGTAGAAGGAAGTGACTCGACCCTGGAACACCAATCAGCGCCAGTTCAGCTTCGGCGTCTTACCCTTTCGACGTACATATTCATTACCCGTCCAAAGTAGTTCCTGGGAGTTGTCGAAGGTCATAGTCGCAACCGGAGTGGGCATCGCGTGCACGCCCGGAGGCGGGAACGGAATCCGGGTGACCTGTAGAAGAACTGGGTTAGCATAAGCTTGACACCTCATTCACGACTGAATATGATTATTTTCAAGTTCATGCAAGACAGACACCTTTCTATACTTGAAACATATGAAAGGTTTAAATTACGACACAGACATCGCGAAACATACCTCAGCCCAATCGCCGTCCATTGTGAAAGGATATGGGCATTATCTGTAAGCGCATAGCTTATATAAAGAGCGCGAGCTTGTGCGCCAGCCTCCGAGAGGACTGGGCAGAATTGGAGAAGCGAGAATGGTAGTCCAAAACACAAAAGTCAATAAAGCTTGCCCGTTCAATATTCACACATTGGATTCTTTGATAGAAGTAAATGCCGGTGACGGAAGTGGGATATCAGCTCCCAAGCTTGGAGGGGCAGCAAGCTCCCATTAGCCGACGTTCATCCGGCGCGCGAAGTTGACGCGGTTGAACTCCAAATTCGAGGAAGGTAGAGAGCTTTCTATCTTTCCGTCACAGATCATTATGCAGAAGCTACGGTTTATCTTCTTCTTGTGGTAAGTAAGCCTAGTGGGTGTTCCTGCCCATGGAGGTGCGTTGTATGGTGCTGTGCTGGCCATACGAAATGAGCAGGACCAACTATTGTTCAACCCAATTCGATATAGGTGCAAATTGAAGAAGACTTCTTACACCATGTTTCAAAACTCAACTACCTTAGGTACCTTAACTACAAAGAGTGTATCCACTTAAGGTACTTTACTTGAGGCAAACGGCCATGTATATATAGATTTCACTCACGAATAAACCACAAACCATCTAGACTGGCCAACGTTGCTGTTGAGAGTAATTGCAGTTGTATTAATCTACTCCCGTATACAGTCTATCTTGCCCCGTCTATCTTGAACTTGTTCTATACCTATTCGCTAAACGCCGCAAAAAAGGACTAGCATGAGTCAAGTGTCCGAGCATGAAAACACGGCACGTTGCCAGCCGCCAAATATCATCGTGTATCATTAATCAATAATCGTGCCTAATGGTCTTCCAAGCAGCCCAACCCTTTCACAAAGTGGCTTTGACTGCTAAGTAAGTCATTGTCTGAAATTTTGGTGGTTCCATAAAACAAAGCCGCCAGCTTGTGTCACGAAATCATGCCGCAAAACCTGTCCTCGAGTTTTAGGAATCGCGGGAGAGCATCCGTAGATCGAGAATACTTGTAGCACAAAAGACGTTTCCGCAGCAAGGGACTGCCGAGTCCGGTCGGTGAGAGGCTGGGCGACCCTTTTTTTAAACCAAGATAGGTTTGATCGGCAGCAACTTGGTGGCTCGCTTGTTGTAAATCGCCGAGTCTAAATAAGTGCAGGCGAGCCAAAAATTCCAACATTTGATGCCTCATCATTTCGTGGCCTTGGTCGTGGATCCGACCGGGAATACTGAACGCGAAGACGCTAGTATGAGTCGATATGCGAACCAACCCAAAGTAGAAAAGCTGCTTGGAAGAATGTCAGCTTCACGATAGGGTCGAAGTCGCCGGATAAGAGGAGAAATGAGGCGGGACCGGGGTCGTAATACGATCGTCGCTCATTCCGGTTAAGTTGCTATGATGCGAATTGCATTGGAGCAATTTCTCATGAAACTTGGTAGACGGTGAAATTGACGGGGAATGCGTGGTTGCTGAACCCAGGGACTTTAGAGATGGGTTCTCCAGTAGGTTCGACCTGTACCTGCCATCGTGTCTTGGTGAGGGCTCCGACTTCATCCCATAGTCGCTGGAAGCTTGCTTGGTCGTGTAAATAAGCTGATCGCGTGCTAGTCGAAGACGGCCCTGGATGGTTTGTGCCGACCTGGCGGCCATATATCAACGCATTTTTGGTGCCAGGCTTAAGGAATTCGACGACGCGCTTGCCAATGTAAAGTTGTTGAACCCAGTTGAAGAGGTGAAAAAAGCTGCCTGCATGAACCATGGTGATCTTGCCGCGCAAAGAGGCCATATCCTTGTCGGCGGGATCAAGCATATCGCCCGCGACAAATGTTGCATCGAGTGAGTGTCTGTCCTGGAACAAATCGTAGCCAATATCGATGAACTTGGACTGTAGGTCGGTGCCAATGAGTTGAGCGCCGTCAACTCCATCTGCACGAAACTGCCGAATTACTTGTCCAACCCCACATCCCAGATCAAGAAGGACATCTCTAGAGCCGGCGACGTTAAGGCGGAAGAGAGCTTGTTGGTAACGAGGATCTTTTGGATCTGGGATGTATAGAAATTTCCATCGCCCAACGCAAGGGTACTGTGAGATGCACCAAGCCTTCTCTCGCTGAATGCAGAAGGTCATATCAGCTTATGTGCTAGTGTTCAGGGACATATACTTACGACGCGGCGTATGTGGCCGTCTAAATCATTATAAGGAATCTTGCTGTAAACCTCGAGAAGATGTCGAGCTGGACCAATGTCTTTAGGGGGATCCTCAAGATAGGTCCAATCCCGCACCTTCATGACATCCATGCTTAGCAACATGGTGAAATGAGTGAAGTTGATGTCAACGGTTGTGCGACCCAACTTAAAAAGTGACAAGGTAGATCAGTTGCTGTGGGACGACGAAAAGGGTTTATTGTCTGCGTCATTGAAAGTGTAATGCCGTTGTGTCAGCTCCAGTTGAAAGTGTGTTGTTGCTGAAGAATGAAAAGTGAAGTAGGAGAGAGAGAGAAGACCCCGAAACCTTACGGCAAGAGACCGACAGCCGATGATGCCATTTCAAGGAAACAAGGGCGTTTCAACAAAAACAAAAAAAGGGAGAGACGGGAGACTCGGAGATCAAAAATTGTCTGAGACAAGAGAAAAGAAAGCGAGAGTGAACGAGCGAGCGAGTGGATGCTACAGCAGAGAGTATGTAAGGTAACGCGCGGGTTACGAAATAAACTTAGTAGGAAACCTTAGAAGCAAAGGAGGTAAATCAAAGCAGGGTAGGGACTTTTGCGGTTGTCATATCGCCGAATCAACTAATAAGCTTGCCTTGCATTTGCATGCATTGCCCATGAGACGAGCGAGCAGGACAAGGTTCAAGGATAAAATCCATACTACGTAGTATGTACCTACAGTTGCCGCCCTAGGGAGCTAGGTAGGGTAATTAACTCAGGGATCCATAACATGAGCGCGGATACAAGGAGAATTAGGGTCGTTTCAACAATCTAATAAGCATAGAGCAATTAGGGGACATGGCTTTGTCCAAAGACCAAGCTAATCGAGAGAAAGCCCGAGTAAGAAAGTCGAGATGCAGGGCTCTAGAACTCCTTAACTCACTTTAGTTAAGGCCAATGATGTACAAGGGCAGCTCCTTGAGGACAAGACTCGAGAGATTCTGGAATCGTCAACGAAATTGATCCATCCAATCCAATCAATCAGCCCAAGCATTAATCCCACGACTGCCGCTCCGGCTGCAACCACACTCTGTTTCCAGGGCTGTTATAGCGCTCCTTGGCCCACTAGGAGTTCCCGGAACTCTTCTAATACCCACTCTCCTATCCCTGGGCTTGTTCAAAAAGTCTCCATGTTTGAACGCCTCCGGCCTCTCACTCGGGACAACTTTTGTCACTGAGACGAGATATCTGGTTGTTGATTAAAAATATCAATTGCCCGTGTAAGTGGATTTCGGAGAGTTTATTCAGCTGCACCAAAGTGAAAGGCCGCGGTTCGACTTGTAAAAGTCTCAACCCCCTAGACCCCCAAAGTGCACAAGTGCGGTCATATCGTCTGTTATTTACCAGTCAGTTATCAATCGTCGAGACAACAAAAGCAAGCAATTTCGTCCCATCACTTCGTCACCAGCACGCCACTCATTGTACAACTTTCTTCGGGTGATCTTTCATCTGTGAGTTGTCAGATAGTATTCCTTGTCTCATTGGCTCCGTCCGCAGTAAAGACCAACAGAAGCAAACATATGTAAGCTCGTTTAACTAACAGCTGATGACCTTGATATGCTTCGCAATCAAGCGGGGACCTCATTCTACAGATGACTAGGGTATTAACTTACCCGCTAGCCTCCGCCGCGGAAAACAACGCCGAGAATGCGGCTGCCAGGGGTTATTGAGACAACGTCTCAAAAAGTCTCAACGTCCCGTCTTGCCGTGGTGTTGACAGGGCCTGTAGCTAGCATCCTGATACACCAGAGGGCAGATCCGAAAGCTTAACACTTGTAGTTGTATCAAAGATGGCTATCTAATCCATTTTCAGCCCGAATGCTCCCTCCGCAAGCATATGGTTGTACAGTAGACTGGGAGTATTTCCTTGGTGAAGTAACGGACAGTTGAGGTTTTTCAGGCACCTCTCCCCAGAGTCCAAGACCCAAGTTGGGGGAATTTCCGACACTTGTTCAGGTCAGTCTAGGGACCTTGATAAACATGATTACCAAGTACCTTATACAGGTGGATTCTCGTCAAGACAATAACCCAGAGGGCCTTTCAAATCCCAATATCAGGGCATAATGCCAGCACTCTGAGATTACAACTGACTGAGATTCAATCTGCGCTCACCCAGGACTCTTCCTTCAACCTGAATACCTCATTCTTCCGTTCCTAATTGCCATCGATAACACTATCGCAAAATTCATTTGTAACGAATACCTTTCTTCTATCCGATTATCCCGAGTGTTAAGCCTAGCGTCGGAAACGTTGAAAGACCGAGTCTTGTTAGGAAGCTCTGAGCACAAGACAGTATTAACGATGAATTAATGAAATGTTACTGCAACCCAATTACCTCTTCACCAATGTAACTCATAGGTGACCTTTTGTAACCTCCACTCCCACCACACAATCTTTAACTTAAGCTTTAAGCTCGAACTATAACACACCATCCCGCTGCTCTTTCCATATTCAATTCGTTCCTTAATGAAGATCTTGCGGCTACACAACTTATGCGGAAACATTTCCTGGCACGCTAGCAAGAGATAGGCAGGTTGTCGTTCACTAGCCCCTGGTTTTCAGGTGCCAAGGACTCTCACCTCACATCGTGTTTTTGGTATTGGATCGCTTCAATGTTATATAGTTGTGCCCTTCTGACCTGTCTTTATATAGCCTGCCTACTACGTAGACGACTTAAAAGTTTCAGGAAACGCTAAGTTTGGAAGAGACTCGGTATAAGAACGCTATTCTTCACTGTTCCCAAGTAAGATGCATTTAAGGACATGGCACACGGACTTCATTTCACCCCATCCAAGCTACTAAGTATTACAGCTTCCTTTAACTTCAATCGTGGCTTGTCATAAGTCCCTTTGTAAACGTACAGCTTCGGAGACCTGTAGTTCGTGAGATAGGGTACTTCGATAGCGTTATGGGCGACTTATACATGCTGTCTCTGTGAGTTACATGTTCCTGACACCG